AACAGCACTTAGTTTAGGTATTTTGTTTAGAAGTTCACTCTTTTTATATTCTTTATATTTGGCACGCTTTTCATACTCTGAACCACTAAAAGTAAAAAGTTTACGCCCGTCACTTATATTATAAAATGCTAAAATATAATTTAATAAACGAGTTATTAATTATTGAATTTAATGTGTTATTGCCCTATTATAATAAACAATAAACTTAAGTGAAGTATGAATACATAAAATATCTAGTCAATTTTATTGCTATAGGAAATATAGTATTATTTTATTTTATACGATCTTAATTAATTTTAGGAATAACTTATATGCACCTAGGTAGCCAGGTAGGCATCTTATCTTTATAGCTCACATTACAAGAAAATGTATTTCGTGTTATTGACATTTTCAGTGTCATGCGCTTGCATACTGTATATTACGATTACGAAAATTTAACATGACACAGGTAACAGAGTATCCAATGAGTCAAATTCGAGGATTTATTATTGTTTTTTCAATATTATATAGTATTAATTTACGCAGTTACATAAATCCATAAAATATTCATAAGATTTTTTTTTCAATTTCTTACAAAATTTGCTGCCCTAGACCTGGGTTTACGCATAAATCTGTGTACACACTGCGTATCGACGTGTTGAGATAATACATTTGAAGTTTTTAGAGAAGAGTAATGGTGCGATCTCACCCCTTTCTTAATTTGAGAATAAATTGATTTCTTTCAATTAAAAAGAGATATAGTTATTACAATTTTGTCATTATGTAGTGCCTACATTTATTTTGGTTTCAGTCCATTACAGTGTTAGGGAGAAGAGAGATACGTTTAAAAACAATTTTCTTATTATAATATTTTGTCTTAATCTACAGATATTAGCTTACAGCCTACAATGATATATATATATATATATATATATATATATATGTGTATGTGTGTGTACAGGGCCGTATTAACTATTAGGCACTGTAGGTACTGTGCCTAGGACCTACGAAAAGATGGCTAAATTTAAAAAAAACATAAAATCTTTCGCTTTACTCAAAATCTAAAAATAACCTACTAATGTAAAATGTATAATCAAATTGTTTACATGAGCGCTTCATTTTTGGATGATGTGCTGCATAATATTATGTCATGTGATATGGAAATTATTATTACGTCTATTATATTGATGTATTTACTTGGTGGTTAAACATTGACAATAACGTTTCATCTACTACACTTATTAATCCGTTCATGGTTTCTTCCTATACTCTCAACAAAAAAGATAAGAATAATTTGAAGCAGATATATAAAGGTTAAGTTTATTATAAAATATTGAAATAAAAATGCCAGAGCAATTCAATCGTTCAGTCTCGCCAAATTATCTTATCCATACAGGTTTATAACTAATAGGACATTTTTATTGAAGGGTACAATTCATAAAAATCACTAATCGATCAAATATGCGTCCAAAATTTAATTTATTTTATGATGTATATAGTTATTACGAGTTTGCAGTTACACAATAACCTTATATGAATGAACTTATTTGTTTATACACGTTTTGAACATTGACTGTTATATGTTATCAAACCTATATATATATATATTTATATATATTATATATAGAAATGTGTGCGTGAGGACGCATTTCACAATTAATCGAATAGGTATTCATTTAATTCAAGGTTTACACTTTGATGAGTAGTAATAAACTAATTAAAAAAATCCATTTAATTTTTTTATTAAAATAAAAACTATAAAATACTTCTATATATTATATTTATAATTTAGTTTTCAGAATGTATATGTTATATATATATATGTTTGCCAATAAAATGCTTAAACGTATATATTATTTAGGTCGCTATATATACAATATACATATCTACTTTACATATATAAATAAAAATTTTAATTTCAAATTCATAATCTTTTATATATTATTATAAAAAAGATATTTAAAAATTACAATTATATTAAATTGAAAAATAGAGAGGTAAATAATCATTCAAACACTTCATACAGTTTGTTGGTTAAAAATTACAATCATACGTTTTTAAAAACAAAATTAAATTTGTAAAATACATATTAAATAGTTACTATATTGCAGTAACTCAAGCGCAACCAAATATCTATAGAGATTGAAAGTAGACAAAATTAGCTATATAGCTATTTATAAGTCTTCGATAAAATATGCCTTTAAATTCACATATTTTTAATAGTTATAGCTCAATTATTGTATAAAAGTGTAAATCGTGTTGGCGGGTTGTTGGGCGTGAAGCCATAAACGCACCCTTGGCGGTCGGGCCCTAGGTTTTAGCTATTTAGCTATATAGTAGTACATAATAGCTAAAAATATTTATTTCTATAAAAGCTCATACGGTTATATAGATCAATATAAAATAAAGACGTACCCCCTGCAATTCATAAGTAATTTGTTTGGCCCAGCGTTCCACTAGATAGATTAAAAATTATATTTATATCTTTACGTTTTATACGATAATGATACAAATACATGAGTAATGAGTATAATAGCTACCTATTTAATGTTATTAATCAATGAATATATTTATCACTTAGCTATAATAAACCAAAATAAACCAAAAACTAATTTTATATTTATAATAGTCTAAGCTTTGGAACATATACACCGATACATTTTATTTAATTTTAATTTTAGATGACGGTCAACCAGAAGATATTGGCTATGGTTATCAAAAAAATTTAAGAAATTATGGAAATATATTTGAACAAGGAGTTCGTGTACCAAATAGTAAGATTTACGAAGATGAAATAGCTGAAAAGTTTCTTAACTATTTGGCTAATGAAAGTCCTCAGTATAATCAAAAACCGTGGAGTAAAAAGTCGATATTCCGTGAAAGGGAAGGCTCTGACATGCCGGACAATTTACAACAATTGAAATATGATAGATACTCTACACCTTCAGCTTTTCGCGAAAGATACAAAACTAATCCCAACGTAGAACAAGATTATAAGAACAATATGGACAACCAAGGTGATTATTTGTACGCGTTAAATACACTCATAGATAAATACATCGAAGAAAATGTACAAGGTATGTCAGACGAAGAACTGGAGAGTTTTTTGAGGGCACAAGAAGAAAAACGTAACATACCGGAAGAATATCAAAATGTTTACGATACTTATTATAAAAGAGCAAGCCCAATGAAAAGACAGTATTTGTTTATCCCCAGAGGTCATATGAGAAGAAATAACAAGTATCGAAGTAAATGGGTAAAACCGAGATTAATGAAAAGATCGAAGAAAAATATCGCATTAAATGGATCGCACACAGACCCAAAAGTGGCCGCCGAGCTTAATAATATTTTTCTAGGATCAGAATCCAACACAAATACCAACACTACAACAGATATAAATAATAATGTCAATCAAACAGCAAAACCAGAAGTGGATGGTAACAATTTAAAAATAGAATTGAAAAAAAAGTCTATTGATTGGAGTAATTATTTTGGATATGATCGAAAGTGTGTTAATATTTTTTTTAAATTAGTAATAAATTTACTTATAAATAATAATATTTGTTTATTGTATTAATTTTTAGGAAAAAATCGATCGAGAACATACCATCCGAGGATACCATTTTAAATCAATACATGCGTACTTATGAGAAAGAAAATGAAGAAAATGAAGCGAACGCTATCAATCTAAAAGATGAAAAATTAATGTGGTTGGAAGATACACTAATTAACAACGCACTGAAATACACAGGAGCTAATCAAGGTACCAATGATCCAGAAGAAATAAACAATGTCAAAAATCAAGTACTCGCAAATTTGAATCAAGCATACTACATTGAAAAACTTAGAAATGAAAACAACGAGATGCAAGGCAAGTAATATCAAACTATAAGTTAATTAATTAAAATTGTGTATAACATAAATGATAATACGATAAAAATTATTTTTTTATTTAGAAAAACAATATGAAAAAGCAGATTTTGTTATACCTACAGAAAATAATAGTCAACCTATGAATTCTATATTGGATATAGCAGAGTCAAATAAAGAAGGTAATATATTGTACAACTAAATTTAATATAAAAATAAAAAAATATATTTTTATTAGCTGATCGTAATGAATGTACTCAACTTCAACAAATAACTCAGAATTGTTTGGAATTGGGGGGGTCAGCTGGAGACTTAATGTTGCCTGTGTGTACACTTTACCGTGTTTGTAGTACTTGTGTAAGTAAAATGTAATAACCAAAAATTAATTTTTAGATTTATAATGATAATATTTTCATAAATGTTAGGAATCCGAACAATCAGAATGTGAAGATAAATTCATACAAGGATCTCATGAATTGTGCAGCAAAGCCCCATTGTGTAGATATTTTTCACGCCGTATACTACAACTTATGCAAGAACATCCACTTCAAATACAATGTCATAAGTGCATGGTTAACTTTTTACAAAATGAAGATTAATAGATGAATCTTTAATAAAATAATTTGATCATAATATTAACTAAAAAAGTGGGAAATTATGTCCATAACATAATATAATTATATAAATATATATATATGTATACCTAAGCTTAAATTACATTCATTTAGATGGTGCTAATCTGTCTCAGAGTTACCAACTTTGTTTTTGCTGCTATATATAAGTTAAAATAATAAAAAAAGTAGTTCATTCAATACATCTGTCTTTAATAAATATTATAAAATATTCAAAAATACATACATACATATATATATATATATAATATTATTATTATACTATTTATATATAGTATAATAATAACATTAACTAGTTATTTGATGATTTTCATAGGTATTGTAATAATCCTATCCTAACAAACTTAAGATAGCTTAATCATATTTCAATTTTTTTTTGACAATATTTATATATAAATATGAATAGAAACAAATGTATACCAGAATATATTCATAAAATATTATTAAAATATAAAAAACAAACTTAATATAACCAAATATTATGATTTAAATAACATTAAAATAATACTGTTTATTGAAAAAAAAATGTAGTAATATAAATATAAATAAAATCATATATTTAAAATTATGAGAGTAGTGGTATTTTGACCACAGTGTAACAGAGATAAAATTATTACAATAGCTTAGTAAAACCAAGGTAAGTATGAGACGCTTTACGGTTAAGGTTTATACCAGATGACATTTCCCTAAGTCTAATAAAAATTGATTCTCCAGGTTTAAAATACTCTACAATAGATGTGAAACATGAAATTTCTGTTCCAGAGACACTCACTGCACTACATACAGATAATGTTTCATTTATAGAAGATGTTACTTTTGTGATAGAAAAACTGTTCCTCTTAGTAGATGACAAATAATATACCTAATAATAAATAAAATTTATTAAGTACAGAACTAATTCATATTATTTTACTATAAAAAATTTGATTCCTCTTTTTAAAAATTGATTATATAAAATATTATTATCTTTGAAAAATACTAATATTGAGTATTTAGAGATTATTAAAAGGGTGCAACAATAACATTTTATAACTCAGTTTTATACATATCAAATATATGCAATAATAATTGGTAATTACACTTCTCAACTGTAGTAATATAGATGAAAAAAAATACTGTGAAAATTATTTGTGTTTCAATAAAAGCGTTATTTTTAAAAAAGTTTTGAAGAAAACATAAAATAATTTTTAAAACAGTTGAGTTATAGTATCTTAATTTTTACACATAACTAAGTTTAAAATAAAACAAATTTTAACTACACTATATAAAAACAACTTATTTGAATGTTGCACTCTTTTAGGGAAAATGTATCAGTAAGAAAATATATTACCTGTATATTAATTAAATAAAGTCCTTGGTCAACTATTTCTAACAAAGTTCTTCTTGAAGTTAATTTTATGGGAGGATACGAGTCAACTGGTAAACTTTTATTTGACAAAATCCATGGCCCTAAGATACCTGTTTATAAAATGATAGTCAGTAATTAAATTGAAATTTTAATTTTTCTAAATACTACGTTCACACCTGGGAAAGTAGTTAATCAGGTTATTAAATCAGTTTTCACTAAAGGTAATTATTGACTAAATTCATTAAACTATACTAAACTAATATATTTATGGATAATTTTGTTCAATTCTCAATATATTTTTGTAGTCTAGGTGTAAACGTAGTAAATTATAGAATTAAAAATTTATAATGAATGCTATTGTACAAACTACCATTTTGTTCAAAATCTATATTTGGTTGAGCCAAGTAGAACAAGGACATATTTTGAACTAGAAGCAAGAAAATTAAATTATAAACATCATAACAATAACCGTGTTTGTAAAAAAATTATTAAATTACATTTTGTAGACTTGGTTGATCTGGTATGTCTAATATTTAAATTTTTCATTTTGGAAAAGTCAAAATATACGTCATCTACATCACCGTTAGTTAAATCAGTCTTTGAAGATGTTTTTAGTATGCATAACCTTTCGTTTGAAAGCATAGTTTTCAAATCGTGAACAATATGATAAATATAAATGACTAAGGATAGCACCAACAAATTAACAAATATCACAATTACATCTTTTTTCTTCAAATAATAGTTATTCTTATTATTAATCATTTTATTTCTGTTTATCTGCAAAATCTTAATTTCAAAATTAGGACAACAGAAATATGCATGCAATACTGTAACATAAACTTAAGATGAAATTACCTCAGCAAGAAAAACAATCCAATAAATGTTAGTTTAAATTAGCCCTGCAAACTGTAATTTCACAACGGAATTTTAATTATTAGTTGAATTAATTATTGAGTATTGCTGTATTGCAAATGATGTACGACATTAGTCATCATTACTGGTGTGTATGTAGGTTTGTATAGATATTTTGTATCGTGAATTCGCACGTATTAAATAAAATCTGAAGGTAATAAATAATATTTATATAGTTAAAATTAAGTGTATAAATAATAATAAAAACAATTTACATCGTGTAAAATAACAATATTAACACTAGTACTAACAGTATTACAGATTTCAGAATACTGAACAGTGAACAATAGTCATTGTTATATTTTATTATAAATAGCTAATTTCAATATTTTATCATTACGATATATTATCATAAATAAATAATCAGGACAGTGATTTTCGCGCCATTTGTATTGAGTACCTGTAGGGCTGTAATCAAGGTATATATTGTTATATTCTGTGATATATCGCATATATTTTATGCAGTAATACACCATGCCAACAACAAAACAGGTCGTCCGGACATGGGCACATGGCAGTAACGCCAGCAACATTAACGGTAACAAAATAAACAACAATTTTGTACACCTTTCGGCATTTGGTTTTATCAGCTAATTCAAATTATACTCGGTAAAACATATTATATAACAGATAATAATACGTTATCAAAGTTGTTTTGTGGTTACCGCCGGTACTCAGTTAGACGTGAGACTTATGGTACCGTACTATCGTGTCATTGAGTCATTCATCATTATTCATTTGAATTTCAAGTTGAAAATTTGAATATTCGGTCTATACTTATAATCTGTACACCACACAGCGTAGCCAGTCGTAAAGAACCGTAGTCGGCATCTCGACTTACTTAGGCAGAACTGGTGAGTAATGGAAGTAGGAGGATATAAATTGCGATAAACGTATAAATACATGGTAGCAGTGTTCTTAGACACATATTTTGTAGGGGGTCAAACAATTAAGGTACAAGTTCAGTTATTTCGTATAATAGTTAAAATTATTTTTCTCATAATAATTTAAATATAGGTAGGTACCTATTTGTTTTTACATTTTACAAATATATTTTAAGAGTAGGTATGTCGTAAAGAATGTATTGTCTCTGTGTTAAATGATTAGGTAATTAACATATACAGTGTGTTCAACGATAAAGGTAACACGAAATATTTCGAACGCATGACCTTGTATGCAATTCGGGTTTTTTGGTATGTATAGGACATAAAAGTTAATTATTTTGATAAATCTTATTTTAAAAATTCTAAGATGCGAACAAAATAATTTTTAATGGCACCTTTTTGAGTTCAAATTTGAATTATGTGAATTTTTCAACTTGACCTTGTTTTGTCTATCTTCAAAATTGACTGATTGAGAATGAGTTAAATTTTCGATTTATAACATTTGTATTTATCGTATTTTCAATAGTCAGCAATACGTAACTGAACGCAGTTGCACAACAGA